ACATTTGACCGACAACGTAATACGACAATTTGAGAAGAATAAGAAAAACGAGACGGGGCAAAATCCTTTGACCGAGTACAAGTAAGTACTGCATTAAACGATACCTTTCAAGTCATATGCACTTCCGCGTGTGCATCAAAGTTGCATTCACCGTGTCAGAAACGTGTCTTTCAATGCGTGCAATTTATCGCGGTTATTTCACCTTGCTAAATATCACTGACAAGCGTTTAATGAACACTGAAATTCTATTTAATTCAATTACATATGTATATCTGGATCCCAGAGTCAAAGTGTATTAAGTCACATTTTTCAAATTTTAGAGTGCAAAAGTGTATCAAACGTGCGAAAGCCTTGTAAATCATTAGAGACAGGTACGTCAGTTTTTAAACGCAAATAAAGAATGTTACGTTTTATTATTTAAAAGTGAAATCGTGTATTGGACATTGTTGTTTCTTGAAATAAAAAATAAATTGGATACTGTCAGTGACTTAATATCAACATGTCTTCACTAATTACTGTCTGTTTCCAATTTTGTATCTCCTCTTGTGTGACATAATATCATAAACCTGGACAAAGTTATAGCTCTGACGTATCTTCTGAAGCAGGCATTCCAAAATTATTTTATCCCAGCACTGGACTTAAAATTACTTGGCCTTGAAATTATTTGTAAATTAGTATCAAGAGTCTTTTAGACTGTTTTGTTCGGTGCAAGATATGGACTCATTATTATTTTTCAACTATTATATTAAAAACTAAACGATTTTGAATAAAATAATTTTTATCATCTGGAAAAGCGAAAAATTTATACAGGAAACAGATAAAATGTCATTTTTTCAAAAAAGTGAATGTGATACACTTTGACTCTGGATTCTAAATCTAGTTCAATGTTAATTACGATTTCGATTAAAAATAGATTAAGAAAATTATGCATCCAGGGTTTGTTTCTGATTTTATTAGAGGTTCAATTCGTTTGTCTATTTAATTATTTAATAAGAGAAGAGATTGTGGTAATAATAGCGTGAGAAGAACTGAAAGAAAGAAACTTTTAGCAGATATTTTCTCTTTGAAATAGGAAATAAATCAGTCGATTTAACTTGTCGGATTTAATTCAATTTACTTCTATAAATAGCTCAATAAGAGGATACGTATGTATCAAAGGATTTACTTTATTTGACAGCAATTTTCGCTATCGACCACGATTCTGTCAGAACTTGGAATCCACCGAAGGTATTCGAGCTGGAGAGCTGACCAGCCGTCTTTTGACTTGGAGAAATCGAAGTCATCGACCAACGACTCTGCAGGTGAGCTGCTTCAATATTTCCTTTTGATCAGAACGAATTCACATGGTAAATAGCTTGCTGAAGCTAACGGATATTCCATCTATAGGGTGTCCAACAAGAGACAGGAATTTTAAATACTTTAAATATTCAAATTCATTATTTATTGAACAACCAATATTTAAAAGCAAATATCTCTTGTATCCAACAAATTTTAAAAAAATTTTAACCTACAATTTGGTAAAGAAATACTCTCGTTATATTACCGCAGAGGAGGCTGTAGAGTAGAAAATTTGTCAAGCTTCCAAGCTTTCATTTGAAGGGGGGAGGGGAGATAGAAACGTATAATTTTCATAAACCATGATGGTGGAAGAGTGGCACTGGTATGCATTAAAATCCATATGAACGTCAAATCACTCGTCTAGCAATATAACGAGACTCTACTGTACAGAAATTTCACTTTGATTAATTATTCACTATAACTGACCCTCAGCCATTTTGTACTAGGAATATTAGCGAAGCGTTCATATAGGTATTTTCATTAAACTTTAAGCTTTAAATTGATGTATCACAAGTATCACTTTGCAATAATTTTATGTTATCAAATTCTGTCAGAAATTGGCTACTTAATCTAATTAATTTACAGAATTCTAATGGTACTTTAAATTATAATAAAATATGTAAGAGAAAATTTAGTTACATCCCGTTTATGTTTAGGAATTTTTTTTAATACAACAGACTCTCGTTATATTGCCTCGGACAAGGCTGTAGAAGTGGACAATTTTTCAAGCTTCCAAGTTCTCATATAGAGGAAGAGGGGAGATAGAAATAGACCATGATGGTGTAAGAGCGACAGTGCTATTGAAAATCCGTGTGAAAGTCAAATCACTCACATGGCAATATAACGAGAGTCCACTGTAATAATTTATAATTGACTGTTAACGAGAGGCCCCAGATTGAAGTATCACTCGTCGAGTGTTTTTCACGTCACTTTATGCTCGTTATCAATGCGAACATGAAAATTTCACTGAAAATTCCCTTCGTCACAGCCAATGCATTAATGCACTTATGCTAACTGATACACATGCGGCGCGGCGATATTAATGACGATGATACGCTGAAGTGGCGAACAAGGTAATGCGCAGCATCCGCGCTAAACTGTCCCACTGCAATTTGCAGCTCGCCATCGACGAAGATCTACATTTCGGGCTAACGTAAAATCGATACTAGTTCGTTAATAAATATTGGAAATTAGCTGAAAATCGATTTTACATCTAGCGTACAGATTCCCAGGACTTTATTCAATTTTCAGGGAATCTTTTAAAGTGAAACGAATCAACTTGGGAAATCTAATCGAAACTGGGTGGAAATTTTTATTTCATTTTTATATCGTAAAAGTGCAACCCTTTTGAACAGAATGCAAGGAAGGGTTAATATTTTTTTTTTTCTTAGAATCTACTGTAGCTATCAATTTCAAATTTTTAGAATATCTACTATCATACTAGATGTATATTTTAGCTAAAGGGAATGTTGAATAGGAGAAATTGTACAACCTTATCAATGTGTGGGCTTTTTTTACTTTAACCCAGAAGATGCTGCCAATCTGGCTGCAGGCCAAATTTCAAAAAAGTCTTTGGCTAAAATACGCGATACCCTTAGTAGTAAAAGCACACATCATTTCAACTCGATCGGTCGAATGGTTATCGAGAAAAAGGAACACGAGTGCCGAAAAACGTGATTTTACAGGGGGAGCATTTTTCTAAAATCTTTTTTTTTTTCTATAGCATTCGAAAAATTGTTTTAAGTAATAAATTTCAATTTCAAATATAGCCTGTTATCAAATAAAAAAATTAAAAACTTCAATTTTTGGTCGCCCAAAATGCCAACCCTCTTAATATTTTCAAAATTAATTTCCTCCGAACTCGAGCAACATTCGAATCATTAATTAGTTTATTAAAAAATATTTTTCATCATTTTTTCCATTTTTCTATGGGATATTTTCACGATCAAGGTCACCGCAGCTGATTAGCATGAATGAACTTGGTCCGTTCTCGTATGCACTTCCGCGCATCCTGGCTCGGTTGCATAGAGGGGAAAAAGCATGGTGAAATAGCGAGAAGGGATGGCGTTTAATTCTTGAGCATGCGCCACCATCATGAGGGAGTTATTGCAGAGGGGTTGCCGCCTCTCTTTGGGGTGATGTTATTGATCAGAGCTTCTTCTGTCCTACGAAATGGTTCAAGTGTATCACGCCATGGGGAATCGTGCCTCGATTCTTTCCACGTGTACAAACTTTTTCGAAGCTGTGGCAAAGAAATACTTCCCGACTTTTCTCTTTAATATCCTCCTTTTAAAATAAATCAACAATTTTCTCTTAATTGAAAATGAAAAGATGAAACTTGCCCGAATTACTATAATTTAATTTATTATTTATCAAGACAAGATACAAAATTATTTGGTAAGGAGCTATCCTATTGATAGAATTTTATCGAATTATATCCTTTTGTTATCTTTTCATATATTACCATATGCTCGCGTTAAATGTCACCTAGAAAGTGGCGATAAAGTTGCGCAACATAGATAGACTTGTGCAAGAACCGCGAAGCCACTGATAAAAACGAAACCACGGTTTATCTAAAAAGGAAGGCAAGCATATTTTCAAGTGCTTGATAACTGAACAAGTGCAGTGATAACCAGTAACATATTAAAAAGCAACGTCAACTCGTTTCTGAACACCAAGGCGCCAATCCTCTTGGTAATCAAACAGCCTCGGAGAATTCTCCTCTAACGAGCAACATGAAAGAGATTCTGATTAGATACATTCTGATAAGCCATTCAGACGTCTTCGGATGAAACAGGGTACGGGTAATAAAAAAGGATCAGATAGATAAAATGAAGGGGAACGATGGGACATGGTTGATGATAACGGAACATCTTTTCTAACATTTGAACCAATTGTAATTATTACAAATTAATTTCTCTAGTACCTCAAAATAATTCAAGCCATTTGCTCCAATTTTGACAAAAAGAAGGATGGAATACTGGTGATGAAGAAATATTTTTTTTTTATATTTGAACCAATTGAAATTATTACAAATTAGCTCCTCAAAATAATTCAAGCCATTTGCTCCAATTTTGATAAAAAGAACGATGGAACATTGGTGATGAAAGAATATCTTTTTTAACATTTGAGCCAATTGCAATTTTGATAAATTAATTTTTCTAGTTCCTCAAAATATTTCAAGCCATTAGTTCCAATTTTAACAAAAAAGGATGGAACATTGGTGATGAAGAAATATCTTTTTTAACATTTGATCAAATTGCAATTTTGATAAATTAATTTTTCTAGTTCCTCAAAATAATTCAAGCCATATTTGTCAATTTTGACAAAATTATTCCCCTTTAAAGGGTGAAGGAAAATACTTTTGAGCCCCGCAGTATTTCCTCCTGCACCGGACAATACAATTTTGTATTCCAAAACAGATACAGAGAGAAATATGAAAAAAAAGACCCGGGAGCCAATCCTGGGGAGAGAAGAGAAAGAGCATAGATAGCGGAGTTTAAAAGCGTAAGAGAGACGGCTAGAAATCCATGGAGTATGCTGGAACAGCGGTAGGGAGAATAGAGAGGGAACAGGATGGAAAGAGAAAGAACGATAGCACAAAGGGACAAGCTGGAGAAAGACAGAACGAATCGAGTGAGTCAGTGATGGCGTACAGCAGCCAGGCCGAGCCCAGCTGTTCTTCGATCCCCTAACCTACGCCAGTTTATTTCAGCTACCAACAACACGCTACGTGGTCCCAAACGCGTTTCTCTTTTACCACGCGCAGTGTCTTTTATCCGGCGATCTTACTTCCGCTTTCGATCGACCTTCCCGATTCGTCGCACGGTACGAAATAAAATGAAAAATGCGAGTGAGAAATGATAAGAATAAGGCGAAGATTGTGAATTCGTAAGTGAACCTCATCGGTATTGGAACCTCCACGGTACTTCCGGTGACTCGTCTCTCCCCACTGTGCATCCGGGCTTACCATTGAAAACGTGCGTGTCCCTTCGCGGACCATCTCGTTATCTGCCTTTCGAGGAACCTTTGAACCGTGTTCCCTTTGATTCGTTCGAGCGAGAAAATAACGAATCGATCGTGATATCGCGCGTTTAAGTGGTGAACGTCATTGTTTCGTACCAAAGACGAGTGCTACGACTGTTCTCGATGTACTGCGGAGTTTTTAATGGGGATTCTTTGGGAAGATGTCAAGGGAAGATTTGGAAGAGAGGAGATTCCGAAGTATGTTTGAACTCGAGCGACTTTTATCATAGGAAAAGTGTAATATGAAAAATGAGAGTTCCACGAGGGTGGTGAATTTTGAAGAGACTCGCTGGGAATTTTATTCCAGGTAAATCTACCGATCAAAGAGACAAAATTTATTCATTTATAATAGTCAGGAGTTTGATAGAGGATTGGAAGATTTTTGGAGAAATTTATCCTCGGTTGATTTCTTGAGAATCGAGAAACATTGGCCGGGAGATCAACCGTGACAGACGGAGGGAAATAGATTTTCCTTCTTTATCTATGGTCGCAAAAGGCGCGTCCGGTCAATTTGCGAAACGAATGGCAAAACGTGGGCCGCGAACTAGCGACGTATAACTATAAATGGAACTTGTAGTGGTACAGCGTCGATGGTGTGTCGCAAAGAAAATTCAAATGAGAATCAATGCAATCTAAAACAAATTTACCAATACATATAGAAATTGAACGTACAGAAAAAAAAATAAAGAATTTTTAGAAACTCACAGACGTCTAGATCGATTCTCCCATAACGGAAGCTCGATTTTCTTCGAATTATCGATTACTCCCTGACAAAGACTCGGCGGAATCGAATGACGCACGCCGATACACGCTCGGTTCCGCGAAGCGTATCGCGAAATCGTTCCTCGTTCCGAACGCGTCCGTCTACGAGGCGCCTTCGAGCCTCAAGAAATAGTTCCTTCGACGCATTCCAGAAATTCTCGAAAGGTCAGCGTACCAATTAAGCGTCTTGTTTCGAGTACTGTGCAACAAGTACACGACACCGGTAGTTCGAGTCGTAGGATAAAAATCAGGGGGAAAGAGGTCGGTTATCGAGGGTGGCGGCGAAGAGATGGGTCGCTGAAATGCCAGAGGGACATTTTGAAAATCTTTGCTGCGACGCATGCGCGCCGGCACGGCGCGGCGCACTCGACGCCCGATGGAGCGCGATGGAGCTGCCCCACGGTGGATGAAGAAAGGGTCGAAACCCTGAAAAGAGGCTTTCCGACGCGACACCGTGTGCGTCGAGCGTGGATGCGGCGTGTCGCGATCGAGAGAATATCAAATCGATTGAATTCTCGAAATAATGCCGGGAGAAAAGGTGAAACAAACCACGTCGACGGGTAGAGAGGTATCCCCGGTGAAGACGAGCGAGTTGGAGACGAGGAATCGAGCCGGCTCGATGATTCCTCTCCCCAGAGCGATGCAACTCGCCTCGCAGAATCCGAAAACCGTGAAAACCGAGAAGAATCGAATGAGATTGATCATGGAAAATAAAGGACAAGTTGACGGAGCGGAGAAAGAACGAAGGATCAACGAGGAGGATGACTCTGGCACGAGATATTGCGACTTATCCCACAACGTGTATCGATGTCCTGTGCGAAAGGTGACTTTTTTATTTCGTGTTTACAAGGCTCTTAAGGGTATGCAAAGTTTTGCATGTGTAAATAGCGACAAGAGGTATTTTTCAAATTTATTTTCTTTTGCTATGATGTTACGTTGATGGTTGTTGACATATCAGAGGAAAAGTGATGCAAGTTAAAATTGGATGAATTTTGTGTTACATATCAAATTAGTAAAGTTGGAGGAAAGATTTGATAAAATTATAGAAAATTATGTTATTGTTGTTACAATTGATTCCCAACAAATAATAATAAATCTTGTTTTTGTATTATAAAAAGGAGTAAGTAGAGGAGGTATTTTGAAAATTTTTCAAATAATTTATATCTAATTTGATTTTCTATTAGAGTTTTATTAATATTCTTTCACGCTTATAGGTTTCGCGATTCTGATGAGATCGATACCTTATTAATAGGCTGATACTACCAGTAACCAAGTTATTTTATACATATAGTGTTTATACAACTTTTCTTTTCTTTATAATTACTTAATACATTTATTTAGGGTATTGACAATTATTCTTCATCCAATTTGATTCAGTTCAATTAAACTGATCTATAGAGATAACATTCTTCTTGAAAATTCTCTGTTTTGTATGATTTAAAAATTCCAAGTTTTTGGTAAATCTTTATAATACTTTCATTTAATAATGAGTCATTCTTATCGTGATATCTTTCGAAAAGGCAACCGGAAGATTGCTTTCATCTTTTTCGCACTACTGATTAGCATGCTCTGTTTTTTGCTCGCGTTTATAATTGTAAATATTTTCCTGTTTAATATCTGGACCCCACAGTCAGAGTGTATTTATTCCACTTTTTTGAAGAAATGACATCTCACATGTTTCTTGTATCAAATTTTTCATTCTTCTAGATGGTAAAAATTATTTTATTCAAAGTTTAGTCTATATTTTGTTCCGAGTCAAACAGTTTAAAGACTCTTAATATTAGTTTAGAAAAAATTTCAAGGCCAAGCAATTTCAAGTCCAGTGTTAGATTAAAATAATTTTGTATTTGATATCTGCTTCAAAAGGTACGTCAGAGCCATTTAACACTTTGTCTAGGTTTATGATATTGAGTCATAAGAGAAGATACAAAATTGGAAACGGACAGTAATTAGTGAAGACATGTTGATATTAAGTCACTGAAATATTAAGTCCATCGTCAGAGCCAGACAGTGTGAAATCCACTTCTTTTTTTTTTAAGTAACAATGTCCAGTACTCGATTTCACTTTTAAACAATAAAACGATACATCATCTGTATTAAAAAAAATTACATACTTATCTTTTCAAAATTGCAAGGCTTTTGCACCTTTGATATGCTCTCCCTCTAAAGTTTGAAAAGTGTGACTTAATACACTCAGGTTTCAGGATACAGATATATTTATTAATATCTTAATCATTTCTATATTTTTAGTGTTTGTCGGTATTCCTTGATTACATTCATTTCGATACCTTTATTTTATTGCCTAACTTTCCGACGGCGGACCATGGAGAGAGCCCCAATTTTACTTTTAAATTTTCCTTTAAAAATTATTCTTCCAGTAAGAAACTCTATATAAATTTGGGTCACGATTGATCCAGCCGGTTGATCAAAGGTTAACACCTTAATAATTATTAAATTCTAAAATTTGAAGGTTCCAAACTTCTAAAATTCTAAAATTTCCCAGATTCTAAATTTCTAAATTTTCAAAATTTCAACGTTATAAAATTCTAAAATCAAAATTTATTAAATTCTAAAATTCCAGGATTCCAAATTTCTAAAATTCTCCAGATTCTAAACTTTAAAAATTAAAAAATTCCAACGTTATAAAATTCAAAAATTTAAATGAAACAGAATTCGACGTTGCACAATTTGATGAGCGTCAATTATCGCCGCATAGTTTCACAGTGAATTTATTCGTACTTCCATCGAGATAGAAATTTCTAATTAAGAACGAAGACTTTCAGATGTCGGTTTAAAGTAGTTTAACAGGCTGTTACGAGGTATTGTGTGGAGGCTGTTGATCGTTTCTCACGATGACACTATTTCGTTGGAGTACGCGTAGCACGTTTGCTTTTGTCGCTTTATTTCTTACAATTGAACCGAAATAGGCCAGAGAAGAAGAATACTCGATGAATTTTATTTTATCGAGCTACCAAAGCGTTTTAAATACGTTGAAGATTTTTTTTTCCAATAGATTTTCGATAGACGAAATAACTAAAGTATTTGGATTTATTACAGATTTATTAAAAGCGACAATCCTTTTATTCCTTGATAACTCTGATAACGAGGGATTTTTCTGAACCTAAAGAACGTTCAACGACGAAACGTGTAGTGTTCTGTACGCATACGTGCTGCACGTGACTAAAATACACTTCCTTCCTTGGTCGTGTCAAAAATAAAAATACGACTTGAACGGAATTGATTCCAATGTTCCGGAATCGGTGAACTCTCACTGTTCAAAATTGACCGGAAGTTAATTAGGTAGAACTTCAAAAACAGAGGTGTTATTATATTAAACGTTAACACAACTAATATCAATTTGTTCGGTAGAGAAAGTTTAATTAAAATTAACTTTTAACAGGTTGACTGTCACAGTGAAAATGGGCATTTACTGTGGGATATATTGAAACTCTAATTATTAAAAATAGGAGTTTAGTTAATTAAAAAATTTCAAATTTTAATCTTTCTATTTTCGATAGAAATATTATTTAAAGTAATATTTTTCTATTGTTCTCTTTTAATTATTCACGTTAGCGGTACCAGTTACCAATGATTTCCATGTCATTGAACGTGTTAATTAATAAAAAGATTTGTAACCATTAAATAAGAACAAACGAATGATTTCATTTTCAATTGGTAATTTCCACTTTCTCCGTTTAGTCTTTATTTTATTTTCAGATCAGCCTTCTTATCTTAATACCTTGCCCAGGTAGAACTGAGTCAGAATCGGATTTACGAGTTTTACTTATCAAGATAATATTGAAAACAGCTGTCTGTTTAACGATAAACGGTTTAACCTGATCGTTCATTCATCAGAGAGTCTTTTCTATTTAAATTTATTTACATAGTGCCTTATCTTTCCAATGGTAGCGTAAGATTGTTGGATAAGAAGCTGAAAGGAGAAAGGAAGTTCTCTTCAGGGTGAAAGCTAGATAAATTCCTAGACTGCTCTTGTTTCTGTTATTTATTTTTTACCTGAGGACCTATCTGCGTGGTACACATGGAATAGCTTTAACCAGGCTCATTCTCAATCTTTATTCTGAATACTCTGTTTTCGTTTTCACGTTCGAAATTTTCGGCAACGTTAAATTATTACATTTCTAAAATTCTAAGATTCTAAAGTTTTTAGATTTTCAAATTCTAATATTCTATGGTTTTCAAATTCTAGGATTCTAAGATTTTCAAATCCTAAAATTTCAAAGTTTCAAAATTCCCACATTTTACAATTTCAACGTATCATAATTCTAAAGTTTTAAAATTCAAAAAATCAACGTTTCAAAATTCCACCGTTCCAATATTCCAAATTTTTTAAATTCCAATGTTTCAAAATTTCAACGTTTCAATATTTTAAATTTTTTAAATTCCAACGTTTTAAAATCCCAAGGTCCTAAAATTCTAACATTCTAGAGTTTTAAGATTCCAAGTTTTTCAAATTTATAATTCCAAAATTCTATTGCAAAATTCTAAGATTGTGTAGTCTTAAAGTTCTGAAATAGCAAAATTCTTATACACGATTAATACATTCAGTCTTCATTAATAAAAATGCCGGTTGAAGAATCTTAGAATGTTCATACATTAAAATAATGATATCTTGAAGAGTCGTTAAAATGCTCGAGTGCTATTTACTTTTAGTTAAATGAAGAACCGTATAGCCACTTCTTTCCTCTCTTGAATAAACAGTTGCCCTCGATTTTTAAATAATTTTTTTATTAATTCATATCGTAAACGAATTTTTTTGAAATTAAAATAATTGAATATGCAATTGCTATGTTATATACATATTAATAAGTTTTTATTGCACGGTCAAATTATTTATTCATTTTGCACGTTTCTAAATCAAAATACATAAATTTGATATCCATTAAATCATTGTTTTGCATCGAGTTCAGGGCTGGTGTAGTGAAATAAAATGTATCAATTTTCTTCTATTTTTCAATTATTTTCCAGGAAGAGTTTCATTTTACATCTGTTATTAGAGATAACCAGGTTATCATCGTTCTGAGAGATTATTCAATTTATTGTTGCACGTTAAGTAACGAATTAACGTTCTTGCATGCTGATGAGTCATCCTTAATTGGCTCGTGATTCATTCACTACGCTTAGACGTTAGCCTCAATTTTGCATCTGCATTTTATTATCTCTTCATTCTCACGATAATTGTTATCAATGCAATGCAGATGTTTATGCAAATGGATTGGAATCTTAAAAAATTTGAGATATTAGAACTTTGAAATATTAGAATTTTGGAATTTTGGAATTTTAAAACTTTAGAATTTTAGAATCTTGGAATTTTAGAATTTAAGAATCTTGGAATTTTAGAATTTTAGAAATTTGGAATCTTGGAGTTTTAGAATTTAAGAATGTTGGAATTTTAGAATTTTAGTAGTTTAGGAGTTTAGAACCTTAACCCTTGGACGGCGGACCGCGGAGAGAGACCTAATTTTAATTTAGAACCCAGACTCCCAGACTTCAAGAGTAAAAATTTTACAATAGAATTTTGAAACTTAAAAATTAGAATCCTACAGTTTAGAACCTTAAAAGCCTAAAATGCTGAGGGGCCAGGCTCTCCCTAACTTTCATCTACCCACTCCAATGTTCAAATAACATTCACAGCGCAATTAAAAAAAAATGTGTTAATTAAATTTCAAGAATCCAAGGCTATTTCTACGCATGCTTTTCCGTGTTACGAGTGAATTCATTATTCTTGAACTTCTCGGATACCAGAGAAATCCTGGGTGAAAGTGGCAGCTCTAAGCAGCAACAATGGCGATTTCTTAATTATGCATGCGCCTTTCGACGAGATGCTCCCATTATTATTTACCTTTCCCGATGTTTCACTATCTCCTCTGCGCTGTTCAGTACCTTGCTGTCTTCTCTATGATGACCTTTCGTTGACCCAGAACAGGATGGGTTAATTGCTCGTTGTATGCATCAATATTTCCTTTAAATTAAATTCAACGTATCGACACCTGGTACGAACTAAATTGTAACTTCTGTTACAGTATTCTGCAACTATAATACAAATAAAAATAAATAAAAATCTCTTTTTTTTTGTCTATTTCAAATAATCTTCTGAATAAATATAAATATTTTCAAATCAGAAACAACTGTTGCTTTCTATGAAAATTTATTTATAGATCTTTCAATAAAAATCTCGAATGAAAACAAATTATTTAAAAATAGTAAATAATTTTCAATTTAAAGACCTCTTTATTTCAATTTGATTTTTCCTGTTATTTTGAAATAACTAATTAAATTTTTATTTAACTATTATTTTAATTATTCGAATAAGTGTTTATTCGTGATTGAAATTTATCCAAGTAAATAATTTGTTTATCTTCAGTTTAGCCGAAATTTCTGTCAGAAGATTATTTCAAATAATGTTCAACCCTGCTAGAAACCATTCTATTACCGTTCTAATACAATTAGAACTATTTTTAATTGTCAGAAATGAAACATTATAAATCTTCATTTTTTAACTTCTGGTCGTAAAAACATTATACTTTAAATTACAGAAAGTACGAACCATTTAAAAGTACTGAAACAAAATAAGAAAAAAGCTATACTTAATCCTTGTTACACTAACGGAGACAAACAGCAGATGTAAAAAATAGAATCAAAAAATTGTAAATCGCTCTCGTGTAAATCTAATATAAACAAGTTACAATATTGTTCATATCAGTTGTCGATATACGTGGTGAGTTAGATAAAGCGTTATAAAGTATTATCTCGAAAACTGTATCAACTATCGACTCAATTCTTTCTTTTTTTAATTAAATGGTGCGACGTGCCTGATTGTATGGTGTACACAATATTTTTCTAAAGTAGCTATCATAATGTCAGGATAAACTAACGTCGTCTTTTTTAAATGGAATGCTGTACTAATATTTCTTATTTAAATAGCGTTTGTCAAACTGAATAACATTTACTCGAATCATTTTTTGGATATTCTTTATAGCTAACGATTTATGACGAAGGGAATATTTATGGAGCGAAGACGTGGAGGCGTTCAAGGAGAAAGAAACAGCCGGATTTTATTAAATATTGAAAGTGATAACCATTTACTTGTTAACATGTATTCGTTCTTTTTTTAATATTATGGTTCTTGTAATATTGCGCATCGAACAACATTATTGCAAGCATATTGCATTCGATTTTTTCTAGTAAGGGTATTCGAAGTATAAAGTAATGAAAATTTCACTTTCCACGAAAGAAGATATGAAAATTCGAATACAAAATGCTTGCCAATTGGTAAATGCAACAATACTGTCTGATGTACATCATAATATTATGAAACGAATAAGTATTTTACGTGTTAAAAAAAAATATATACTGATCGAATTGAGTAACCTCCTCCTTTTCGAAGTCGGTTAACAAGTAAATGGTTGTTATCTTCAATATTTAATACAATGAATTTTAAGGCAAAATACGCGGCATCCGCGTATTCGCTCCTTCAACGTTCCTTTTTGCATAAGTTAGAAATATAAAAAAATGGTTTGAGTAAATGTTATCCAGTTTGATAAAAACTACTTAAATAAAAAGAAATTAGCATAGTATTCCATTTAAAAAGGACGACGTAGGTTTAATCTAACTCCATGGTAGCTACTTTAGAAAAATTTTCTATACAGGGTGTTCCAGAACTACCATTGATCCCTTGAAGGGGTGGTAGCTGGGATGATTCTGAACAACATTTTCTTTTGGCAAAATGTTGCTTGAAGCTTCGTTTTTAAATTATTAACGAAAAACACTGACCAATCTGTTTTTTAATAATTGCAAAACGAAACTTCAAACATTATTTTGCCAAAGGAAAATGTTGTTCAGAATCACCCCAGCTATCACCCCTTCAAGGGACCAACAGTACTTCTGGAACACCCTGTACATCACACAATCAGCCACATCGCACCATTTAACCCTTTGCACTCGTATTTATATTTGAGAAGACTACCAATCAACCTGAAATTTTTTTTCATATTCGATCAAAATGAAAACATCTTTATGGGAACATATTACAGATTAGCTTGCCGGTTTAGTAGAAAAAATTAGAAAAATACATGTATAATAAATACTATATGGCGACATACGAGTAAAAGGGTTAATTTAAAAAAAAGAGTTAGGTCGATAGCTGCTACAGTTTTCAAGATAATAGTTTGTAACATTTTATCTGTCTCATCCTGTATATTTCAACGATGGCTGGTTAATAATTTTTGTAATATAAATTAAGAAACCCATGACTCGTCGTTAACCCTTTCGCAATGGAAAAAGAAGCCCCGCGAATCGAAGAGAAAGTGTAACAACCGAAACGATTTTTCGAGTAAATTTAATGCTGCTTTCTCTGGCGGGATGTTTATTTGGAGAAGTACACGTGAACGAAGCCTAAATTGAGTGGGATAAAAATGAATGAACCGTGGAATTCGGGAAAGCAATCTCGATGGTGTTCCGCTGTGAAGTAGCAATATCGTGCGGCTGCTTTCAATTTCTCGATTGGTATCGAGTATCTACGGGTCGAAATGAACTATTTAATAGCTATAAATTGTGGTTATTTTTCCTTTTATTTAAAAAAAAAAGATATTCTGAAATATCGAAGTCTTCTGGAAGAGATACGAATGATTCGACGACGAATCATTCTATATCAGTGTCTGATATAAAAAAATATTCATTCTAAGAATCTACTTGCTCTGGGGATTATTTTTAGCGCCAGCAATTGAAAGTGACACCGTCGTTATTCGTTATTCTTGTATGCATGAGGATGTTACATGATGAAGACTTGCCACCCACGCCTCGTTACATAACAAATTATAGCCCAAACATTATTCTGATTGCTACTATAAAATGATCATATCGAATGTTCGCAGATGTTGTTTCAATAAATAGGAAGCTATAAATTATTCACACGTAAACAATGAATTTTTCTGTTCTAAATCGAATTTCATATCGTATAGTATCAATATCATCGGCTGTTCACTGAAAATCAATTAATGAACCTTGAATTATTATTGATTTATTCACAATTGATTGTATGTTAAAGGGTTACGTACCTTTGAGCTGTTAAATAAGAAGAAAAATTAAAAAATTTATTTATAGATGCAGAATTATTGTTTATTACATATTCAACATGTACATATATCTTATTATATGTAATTCTCTTAGTAATTTCTGAAAATTTGGACTGTACAGGGTGTCTCAGGTTGGGTAGTACAGTCAGACAGGGGGTGATCTTTTAAACAAAAATAAGTCGAAAGAAAAGAATAAATTGTTTTCTGTTGGAGTTTTCGTTTTTGAGAAAATTCGTCGAGTACATGTCCACACACAAGAAAATTACCCGAGGTGTATCTCCCTGATTTTCTCCATTTTGATATTTTATGGTAAATTTTATGGTACTATAAAATTTGGGAAAATATTCTAGAAGAATATACAATTTTTGAAAAATCCATTTTTTTATTTTACCAAAGGTATATAACCCTTTAAAATATCAACAGTATTGTGCTACAACTAAGAAAGGAAAAAGATTTGAAGTAGTCTAATTGGATACAACGCGTTGTTGCAGGAGGACACTGAAGAGTGCCAGAAAAGAGCAGAAAGATTCTCAGACGAGTGTCGCGTGTCTCACGATTCGGCGATAGGCGTCAGCGTGGAAGGTGCCGGCTCGTGGAGGGCCCAGAGGCGCCCTCACGGCATCGAGCTACCTACGCCCCTGGCCAGCGTCGCGGCGCACGAGCTGGAGTCGTCGGCGGACGGCGCAGCGTTCAACCCCGTCGTCGCAGCGGCGACGACGTCCGCGAGATGCTCGTTGGTGAAAAACTCGCTGAAACCAGCTTCGTCCTCTTCAACATCTCTGCCTGTCAATGCCGTCAACTTCAGGCCAAGGTTGTACCTCGGCACTGTGATCGCTGAGACCAGCAAAGAGGATGCTATGGAGCCGGAAGTCAAGGAGGAGGACGAACGAAGGTCGTCCACGCCAAGTCCAGAGGTAAATTTATCTTCTCGATCTCGTCTCTTCGTCTAAACCTTATTTTTGTTTTTAATTATTTTCATGGTTTGTATGATAACAGGTGTGTGTATAGGTGTGGATGATGATGACGATAATGTATGAGTTTCTCCACTGAAACAGCTGAACTTGAGTGGATGCGATGGATTGACGTTTTATCAGTGATATTACCTTGAAGAAATCTGATTTTTACTATCCATCTGAGTCTTCAGAAAGATACTTGACATTCAAACATTGCCATTAAGTGGTTCATATTGATCATTAGAGATTGCCATTTCTAATATTTTCATTCAGTTTCCTTAATCCCCGTTTCAAATGCTTTGAGATATTTGTCATCAGTATATCACTAATTATATAACAAATGTAACATCTCATAGTTAACTTATCTTCAGCTGCATTTATTATTATCTATAGAAAAAGATATGTTAACATAGAACAGTGAGGTATCTATCAAAATGAAAAAACAGAAAATTTTCTAATTCTATTCTAATTGTTAATGAATGTCGTATATTAGTTAAAAGCTTCAAAATAATGGGATAATTTTCAAGGTTGTGCAATAATCTGCTGCATTATTACGTAATGAGTTACGATACAATTTTTAGGATGCCATTTCTATATGCATTATTCTTCTACTTTGTTTATCGTTGTAAGTGTATTTTGTTTTGAGTGAGAATGAGATTTGGAGGTAAAAAAAAATGGTTGAAAACCACTGGGTTTGCCTCGTGCTTGTGGAGAGTACGAGTCCTCCCTATACACACCTCCACCAACGTAGACTCGTATTGATTTTACGGGGAGAACTCATTCTGTCTTTGTCCCGCACGGGTGTACACGTTTGTACGCACACGTACATTGCATTTCTTCTCTCCCTTCTTATCTCACCGCCCTTTAACTCGCCACCCTAAACATTTTCGCGAGAATTTATTGTGTTCCTCTGTTTTTTCCCTTCTTGCGGTTTCGCGCGGAAACGTAAGGCGCTTTCGAGGGAGACGAAATTATTTTACCTGCAGCAACCTTGAGAAACATCCTTTTTGGGACGAAACTGATCGAAAAGAAGCTTACAATTAGCTCTTTTATTTTTGATAGAAGATGACAAATTTTGGAAATAAATTAACTTAATTAATGTGTTCAATAGATTTATACAAGAAGAAACAAACGCTACAATGAGGGTGGAAGTAGCGAGGAAGACAACAAGCCAGACACATCCGTGCAGAGCCACAGATTACCGTCCTCATATCGAGGAACTTGGCCCATCAGAAGAGACGTATGGGCCAATCAACAAATGGGCTTTTCCCCCCAACAAAGCACGTCAACTACTGTACATAATGTGAGTTACGTTTCTCTATGAGATACGTATAGCAGGGCTCGAAGAAAATAACATCCATTTAAAAAAAACAACTATTTTATCAATTATTGATGTTGAAATTGTTGTACAAAAAATATAGGTAATACAAACATTAACATGAGTGTAAGGCAGGGGTTAATTAATCTGATGCAACTACTTAACATTTAATTTACATAAAAGAACAATTTGAACTAAATGTACCTTGTTAACAAAAATGGGTCATTTATTGCATATGTATAAATGACTAGCAGTCTGATTGTATTGTTTCTCTCTTTTTTTTTTAAACATAACACATCAAAAGCTGATTATAAATTCTATTAAAATCAATAATATCGTTTTTTTCAAGCACCGAGACCCAGTTATGAAATTGATGAATTCTAAGCAAAATATAAATATGTATGAGAGCAGCGATACAGTAATGACACTTATCCTCTATCGCAGGACGTAGCCAGCGTGATGAGCTTCTCCTCGAATTCTGGCACGGCTCTCGGCTGCTCCTCGGAGATGCAAGGCGATCGAAGACTAGGAGCGAAGGTGGACGTGGTGTACAACTTGTTAGGCATGCTAGGTAGCACGGAAGGCAGAGAGGATATGAGCGCGACTCTCCTTTCCATGAGCAATTCTATAGACAACTGTCTGATTATGAGGCAATCAGGGTGTCTGCCTCTGTTGGTCCAACTGATTCACGCGCCAGGACAGGATCCAGAGACGAGGGAAAAAGCATCGAGAGCTTTGCACAACATCGTTCATGCTAAAAGCGACGAAAGAGCTGGACGCAGGGAGGCGAGGGTTCTCCGGTTTTTGGAACAGTTGAGGGACTACTGTCAAGCTCTGAGGACATCGTTGGAAACAGGACAGGTTCCTGACGATCTGGAGAGGCATCCCGGACCAACGATAGCCGCGTTAATGAAGCTCTCCTTCGACGAGGCTCATCGTCACGCCATGTGCCAGCTAGGTGGACTGCACGCGGTCGCGGAGCTCATCGAGATGGACCACATGGCTCACGGTAGCGAATGCGACGATCAAAATTGTATCACCCTCCGCAGGTACGCCGGAATGGCGTTAACGAACCTCACTTTCGGAGACGGGAACAACAAAGCGTTGCTCTGTTCCTTTCGGGAGTTCATGAAGGCGTTGGTCTCTCAGCTGAGGAGTCCCAGTGACGATCTCAGACAAGTGACCGCGAGCGTTTTGAGGAATCTGTCCTGGAGAGCCGATAGTAGCAGCAAGCAAACGTTGAGGGAAGTTGGAGCCGTGACTGGGCTAATGAAAGCCGCGATGGAGGGCAGGAAGGAATCGACCCTCAAGTCGATACTTTCTGCGCTCTGGAATCTCTCGGCGCATTGTAGTACGAACAAAGTGGACATCTGCGCTGTGGACGGCGCGCTCGCGTTTCTCGTCGACATGCTGAGCTATAAAGCACCATCTAAGACTTTAGCCATCGTCGAAAACGCCGGAGGTATACTGAGGAACGTGTCCAGCCACATCGCAGTCAGGGAGGATTATAGGGCTATCGTGAGGGAGAGGGGCTGTCTGCAAGTTCTACTGCAGCAGTTACGTTCACCTAGTTTGACCGTCGTCAGTAATGCTTGCGGAGCACTGTGGAACCTCTCTGCCCGGTGTCCGCAGGATCAGCGACTGCTCTGGGATCTGGGCGCGGTCCCCATGCTTCGCAGTCTGATCCACTCAAAGCACAAAATGATCTCTATGGGCTCGAGCGCAGCCTTGAAGAATTTGCTAAGCGCCAGGCCAGGTTGTAACAATCTCGTCCACCTAGATTCAACGGCAAGAGGACTGGGCCTTCCGACTTTGCCCACCTTGGTCGCACGCAGACAGAGGGCTCTGGAACAAGAGATAGATCAAAACTTGGCCGAGACTTGTGACAATATCGAACCGAGCACGTCCCCGACGAACAAAGACGACAAGTTCTCCTTCAAAGTAGATCACAGCTTCTTAGGCATCAATACACGCACCCTGCGCTCCTATCAGCTGCACAACCAGCCCAGTACCTCCAGCATTAAATGCAACGGTGTCGCCAGAAGCGAAAGCAGAGACTCTATGCGCTCCATAACGAGTACTCACTCCGACACCATGTTCGAGAGGGTGAATCGTCACGTCCTGAACGGATTGTCCCCCACGGAGGTTCAGATCAAGCAGCAGTCTTCGTCGTTGCACGCCGCGGTTGGTTTCGACGCCGGGATGTCCAAAGAAGGACATAAGGTCTCTTCTGAGAAAAAGTACACTCTGCGTTACAAAAATGCCATTCCGGATCGTCTGAAGTCCTCGGACGGATTCAATGGCCTGGGTGACCTTAGATGCACAAACTCAACCATTTCTTGGTCCTCGGCACCGGACCAGGAATCTGCTTGCTCTCAGAATCTGTTGCACTCCTCGGTGGAAGACAATTTGCCTCAGGGTATTTCGTTGAAAGGTGGCAGCCAGTCCAGTATCCCTGATGAAACTGAACTGAACGTTTGCACAAAAGCAGAATATTCGACTACTAAGACGGTCATCGACACCTCGTCCACGCTGTCCTTCGTTGGCACTAGCTCTTCAGTCAAAGATGGATTTGGTAACGTGCTTCATCAACACAACTCGTTGAACACCATACAAAAAGCTATTTCCCCGACTGTTAGCCACCGAACAGAGGGGAATCTGTTCAGCGACTACGCTGTTACCGATCTGGATCAACCCACCGATTACAGTTTGCGTTACGCTGAGCGTAGCTTGGAGGATGAAGAGAAACAACATTCGCATTATTTCCCAAACGCGGAGCAGGAGCTGATTCACGAGGACACATTGAAGACTTATTACACCGAGGGAACGCCTCATGGCACGTCTTTGAATTGTTCCAGAGCAGCCTCTGCCTCGGATCTGCAGGATGAGAGTCGACAGAGGAACTCGAAGAAATTGCAAGAACGAAATAAGTTGCAAGAAAAGGATCCATTGAAATTTCAGAGTACGGTGAAAAAGGGTGCTAAAAGAAGTCAGGGATTGCATTATTTTGAAGGGAATGTTAAGGATAATAATATTGAAGAGAATGCTCATTCGTCTACAAATGGTCCAGTAAGGTGTGTACATTTTTGGTATGATTATTTTGAAAATTAATTGTAATGAAGTAAATAAAAATTCTTCTTATTTATTAACAGTTTGAGGATTACACTTTCGCAAGTATCCCCAGGTAATTTACAGTACCATGATGATGATGATGATAAGTACAAAGCATCCAACTCAACAACTCTAATTAAATCAGGTAACATATTTAATATCACTTGTATACCTAATTTGATTTTCATTGAAATTACTATCCTTTTTTAAACATGTGTAATTTTATTGTAGTCACAGAAGAGAAATATGAAACTAAAAATGTTATATTTGAAAAGAATGAAAAATGTGAGCAAAATTTTCCTGAAAACGGAGTTAATTCTTACGTGATCAGTACACTGAAGGCTTCTAATGATTCAGGATGTAAGGAATTTGAACTAAAAGGAGATACGCGTAATATGCCTTGCACATTAAATATAAACACCTCTTCCGAATGTTTAGATCAAGTCAGTGATGGGGATGAGGACGATGAAGATCTGCTTACAGCTTGCATTAATATTGGAATGCAAAATAACAGGTAATTATTGAAATTAATTTATTTATTACGTCTCTTAATTACTTTATTAGTTACATGCCTTGCCTCTGTTTTCTTCCAGACACAGGCATTCGTTCATAGGAAATAATTTTGAGAAGGTTCCACGAAATGAGAGCACTTTAACCAGGTACCAAACAAGCATAGCACTCGATCAGATGGAGTGCAACTCATCAGTCGATTCTACCATGAACAGTCTTGATATGAAACAAGTGGAATCTGAAGAAATAACAGATTCAGATATTTGTAAAAATCAAATGATGGATAATTCAGCAAATGTAAATATTGAATCTGATTATAACCAAAGTACAACGAAATTTATGCAAAAGGTATATTTCCAAAATTTTTTCAAAGCATTCTGATGATACGTGTGCTTAAAAGTTCAAAGAAAAATTTCTTTATTTTGCAGATAGTGGAACACGAAATCTCGCTGAAAGAAACGAATAAAGTTTTACAGAATGAATTGGATAAAGGGAGTTCAATAATGGACGACGATAATCTGTGTAACTTCTCTTTACCCTCGAATCTGAGAAACAGTCCAGAACTACAGGAAACGATAGTTTTCAATACTGAACCGAATCAACAGCAATATTTGTCCGGTATAGATACTCAGTCTAACGAAGATATATCATCTCTGGTTCACAATGATCTCCTCGACGATGCTATCAACTGGGACAACGAGAAAGCATCAGAAATAAAGGACAAAGTTACAGAGAACTTGTCCATGCAACAGTCTTACACAAAAGTAACAGATTCTGAAAGCAGCGAATCCATCGATTCCGTGGAACAATCTGAACACGCGCTTTTAGAATTGTGCATACAGTCTGGACCAACGAAGACCATTGACAACATTCAAAACAGCACGATGAAATCCAATACGGTCAATGAATTTAGACAGAAACGGCATAACGATTCGGATGAGGATAGTAAAATATACAACGACATCTGTGAAGTGGATGGTATTAAAAAAGAAGAAATTGGCACAAAGCACAAAACGTCACAGAGAAATGGAGATACGATGAAGTACGTTGAAAAAGAAGAAGTGTATCGTCGTCAGCGAGATCCCGATGCCATGATCGCCTCGCTGGATCGGTTAACAGCGACCCTGGTGCAACAAACGGAAGCGATACGAGAACGGGACTCGAGTGCAATGAAACAGAGCATAATAAGCGATACATGGAACGAAGATTCTCCTAATGAGATTTCTTTTCCGAGTATCAGCATCAGCGCTCCCATCATAGCCTCGTTCAAGAGCGACGTACCAGAGGAACAAGGTACGATCACCTCCGAATGCGTAGAGACGGTTAGCAGCGAGAGTGGACACATGACTAACTCGAAGATCATTCAGAGAGAGGCAATCAAATTGGCGGAAGCGGTTGACGCGGAAATGAACAGGCAAAACGAATTCGACACGACCAGTATGACGTCCATGGATTTGGAAGCGATCAAGCCTCCATCCTCCATGGGTAGCTTGTTGTCTTTGACGGCCAGTTACGCTGGTTCAGGTGACTGCAGCGAATCGTTCGTTAATCGAGACAGGTGCAATTCAACGTCCCTTCCTCCACTCCAGGTGAAGAGCGTGTCCTCCACAGACTCTCGAGGTTGTCGCAAGAAGTCCCTTCCCCTTGGTGTCGTAGCCAAGCGAGCTCTTAATCAAACTCAGAGTCACACAGGGAGCTTGGAGAATCTGTTGAACGAATGCACTGGCTCCCACTTGGAGAGCGTCAAACCACCTTCGATGATGGACGAGTTACCAGACGTCGGTGACATGGAGAACAGCATGCTGAGCGTCGCTAGTATCACGTCGGAAATTGCAGAGATTAAAGATCATTATTTGCACAGTCTAACCGGAAGCGACGTTGTGTTCGACTTGTTGAAACCCGTTGCGAACGTGCTGTCCATGACCTGCATGCGTTACGCCGAAGCTATGCAGAACAGCGGGAACAACAGCCTGAGCGAGTGTTTGGAGAACATCAACCCTCCTTCTTTGTTCAACGAAGTCTGCGAAATGGACGAATCGACGGTGGAGCAGGCGACTGAAACGATCTGCAGCGATACCTTGTGCATCGACGTGGATTTGCACACGGAAGAAGCTCCGCATCCGATCGTAGAAAGGATCGACGAAGTGGGCAACGACACTGACGAGGCTGTTACTCCTATCTCGTCAGAGTATTGCGGCACTAGCTCGGCCGAATCTACGCCCAGGAAACGGGCGCACAGAAACCTGACACCGAAGCAGAAACGAAATTTGGCCAAGGAGAGGTACAAGACGTACACCATAGCAGCTGAGATGGATAAGAAGGAGAAAGAAGCAGAGCGACGAGAGAACGCAAAGGGTGAAGTGAGTAGAGTCCCACGTGGAAAGTGTTCACCTTTTTCCAAGCTGACGCCTAAGCAACGTAGACAGGAAGACAGAGCCAGGTTCCAGACGCAGGTACTAGAAAATCCTTTTCCTGACTTCAACCAAGATCAGAACCCTCAGCAAGAAATTGATAGTACTCGTGGTCAGGAGAACGCTGAGAAATTAGAATCACCATCCCCTGTTAAATCCTCTATTCCCACATTTTCCAAAGTTCCCACCTGTAAAACGTTGATCAAAAACCGCATGGAGCAGAAGAAGAACAGGGAAAGGTATCGCACAAGAACCTTGAACGACTCAGAGTGTATTTTCAGAGAGGGAGAGAACGGTGTCGCATCAGGTACTATGGAAGAAAGAGTATCCGACTCACCGCGTAACATTCAATCCGATGAAATCCAAACCATGTTAGAACAGAACGCCACCATTGTACTGAATACTTTGAACGAATCGAATAAGGCGGACGAGAACGGTGAGGATGGGTTACTGGATTGCGAGACTATAAGTTTAGTGTCCAATGAATCAGAGTCGGAACGAAATCTGCGAATGAAATTCGTCAATGGTGTTTCCAAGAAACTGATAGGCTCTTGTGCACAGCAGATGGAAAACGTACCAGAACCAGAGTGTGAAATTGAAACAGCCAGGTCACAGGAGGACATCAGGTATCCCGACGCGGTAGAAAGCGAAAGCGACGACGAATCGAATAACACGGAGGAACCACCTAGAGAAACAAAGAGGCCGCGAATAATCAAGCCAGGAATGGTAAGGGATCTCAGCAACGATTCGAACGCCACGGACAAGTCAGACCCAGAGAGTCCAAAGGCTATTCGTGGCAGAAGGAAAGCTCTGTACTCGAACCCAATAACCCGAAAGCCAACGCCACAATCATCTCCGTTAAAACAAGTGAACCCTGTCAGTGGGATACCCATAGGGCGCAGCAACACTTCCCCCATCGTCAGAGCTACCAGAGCCACCACGCTCAGACAAAACAACAACAACCCAAACGTCGCAACGAAAGAGACTGCCAAGTCAAACACGAGTACTAAAATACCTCCTAGTTCAACGGACGCAGAGAAGAGAACGAAAATCTTATCAGTAGCTGCGAAGAGGGCGTCGGTTCCTCAGAAAGGATCCTCACTGACCTTCACAAAGTCTGTGAAAAGACATAGCACACCTCCAACGTGTTCTCCCTCCAACTATCAACAAGAGAGCAAACCGGACCTTCCTGTTAAACCCCTAGAAAGACAGGGTACATTTACCAAAGACGAACCAGAAGTGGAGAACGCCCCCACGGTGGTCTCTACATCCTCCTCACCCATAAAAACGAAGATCGCGAAACCGATTAGAGGTGCCACCTCTAAGGTACATCCGGCGGTAAGCAAACCTAAGATCGCACCGAAGACTCATCAAGCGCACCAGTCGAAAGTGACGAAGGGAGCTGCTTCAGAGAAGATGCAGTCTTCCAAAGCGTTGCCGTTGATGGTGGCTCCTAAACGATTGCCCACAGGTAAGGTAACCACGACCTCGAAAATTCCGGCTGGCAACCAAAACCTCGGCCAGATCGAAAGTGGTAAAATCTTTCGGAAAGTCAGTCCTCTGGGGCAGAGGTCGAACAGCAATTCCAGTATCGTGTCCAATTCGTCGACAGGTGCGCAGACGAGGAAACTGGCCAAGGAGGCGACCAGTAAAATAGCGAGTCTCTGGAAGAAAGTAGAGGAAAGTAAGAACAAGCAACGGTTCGAGAAACCGGACACCAGGCAATGGGTGCAACCTGGCAATTGTGCCAACGGCGTGGACGGTCCTTCCCCGGTCGGTAATCCACCAGCTTTCAGATTGTTCCGCAGTTCGACGTTCGAGGGAGTGCCCCAAGAGAACGATCACCCGGAATCGAATTTATACAAGTCGAAGTTGAAGAGACCTTTGGTTATCGGCGTGCAACCCAGTAAAACTAAGTACAGAAATTCGTGTGACCTGAGTGGAATGAATGCGAACGATGCTCCCTGCAAGATACCCGTCAAGTCTAGCGAACCCTCCACGTACAAAAAGGACACGGCAGAAGTAGAGGACGCCTCGGTTATTTTACGGAAACCGCACGCTGAGTCTTCCACAGCGGATGCGGTGGATCCTACGAAACGTATATCGCGCCTAGGTTCCTTCATAAGAGTAGATTCGGCAAATGGCGCAGATGGCGCTGCACAAACGCACGCAAATGGCGGCAATGTTCGTACACCCGCATCCGCTATCGTACCTCCCTTCAATTACAATCCGAAACAGGATATTCCTTCTTCGCAGGCAAGCAAAGTGACGTCCGACGATAGCGAAGGAAAATTTCGAATGACGGATTGTCACAGCGACATCGTCACTGCTTCTACGAGAGTGACGACAGTATAGGAGGAGCCTGTTATTAAATAACAAGTTTTCGTTCATAGTATCGCTTCTTTGTTTCAGGCTAGTCATTGTATATTTGCTTTATTATGCTGTGTGTCAACACACGCGGCACTTCATCGCGACAACTCAATAAGTAAGTTGAAAAAAAGGTATTCATGTTTTGGTTGAACTTTTCTTCGAGGGCCCAAAAATTATGGCTTTTTCTTTTTATCTTCTTGAAGTATTTAACGAGTAGAATCTAAAAATCCAAGTTTTAAGGCGCGGAATCCACCGAGTCAGAAGTTATGCGTGTGTAAGACTGAGCGTTTTTAGCGTATTTGACAAGTTATTTCGACGCCAAATTGACTCTTCCCCGCATTCAATCCTATGCTGGCCGCCAGCTGGACTCTATTCGTTGGGTGTAAGTACCATCAGTTCCTATCAAATCTGAGGAGATATTGTTCATGAAAAAAAAAAAAAAAATAACCTGAGGTATACCGGGTTTAGGTAGCCACTTATGTACATAATTCTGTTTTACCGACGGCGACTCCACTCATTGGTCGACATCAGGCTACGAGCCAATATGGCGTCGAAGTGACTTTTCAAATACGCTAAAAACACTTAGTTTTATACATGCATAACTTCTGAACTGGTGGATTCCGCACCTTAAAACTTGGATTTTTAGATTCCACTCGTTAAATACTTCAAGGAGATAAAAAACAAGGCAATAATTTTTGGGCCCCTGAAGAAAAGTTCAGCCCATATTTTTCCTGGTCGTTTAAATGACACTGAAATATTGTGTTTCGATGATTTTTTAGACTCTTCGTATGTGGAAGAATGGTCATTCAGGTGTATTTCTTGGTTGCATGCGTTGTGATGCAAGTTTTTAATATGTACGGATAAAGTGTGAGATAGTCGTCGAAGATCAATGATATATCATTCCTATTCACTTTACGTATTGTATATACATTATTATTGAGAAATTCCATCATTACGAGGACATTTAAAATCGGTAGTAAGTAGTAGTAATTATGCTCGATTATTTATTCAACTTTGTATATATATTCAACGTGAATGAAGAATGTAGAAAGGTTTAGCGAATACGTATTACGACTCATGGTGTATATCGCAGAAGATAAAACAAAAATGAGTGTCGCTGTACATCTTCGTAATTAGATAAATTCGCAAGGGATAAGATCTGTATTTTGTTTCAACCATAACTGATTTGTATTCTCTTAATGAATACAAAGTCTAATTACTTTTAAAGACTGATAGAAACATGATGATGATGATTCGGACAAAACTTGGACATCTTCAACGCAAACAGAATGTTACGATAATTGCGGTAGCGATGTTTATATCAATGTAGCGGTCTAAGTAACGCTAGACTGGCATTACGTGAAGAGAACAAAATTTTGTAAATCCTTTACTTTAAGTTTCTAGTCTATTTGAAAAATCTACAGTTGAAATAGCTTCTATTTTGGTCATATGTGTAATAACATAAAAAAATCAATTTGCATGTAATAAGCGTCTACTGATTCGACTGGTTACCCTTTCTAAAATACATGTAGGTACAATTACGAGTGTGTACGGATCAATTATGTATTTGTAGATCGAAAAATTGAAAATATTGGCATTGCATTGGTCAATTTTATTTTTATGCGTTTATTTTTTCTTTAGTTTCATTTAAAAAAAAAAAAAAAAAAAAAAAAAACATTAACAGCAGAAACTGCTGCATATCTGAAATGTTTAACAAAAGATACAATATTTTAAGTTTTCTTCTATATTGTGTCATCTTTCCTTCTACATGTGTTAGATCAATCTAAAATCTCATTAGAAGGAGAATGTTTGACACCGTATAGAGTAGATTCTATTACGAATTATTTCAATATATTTGTTATGAGTGTTTTACCCTGTTCCAGTTCGAGTTAATTAGATTTAACCCTTCCAACTTGGAACCACATCAGGGTACCCTTATATTTTCTTTGTTATACAAGGTTTGGTCTGTACACCAGATTATTTTTCAGAGTTCTTTTATAATATTTGTCTTTTACCTAGATCTTAAGTGTAATCTTTGGTTATATTGTATTTTAGATTTGGTAGGCATCTTAATGATTTGTATATTAATAATTGCAGTACAATAAAATTAATAGCTACTATCTACTTTCTTTGATTTCAGTTATACTGAAAACGACACAATTTTGTCTTACTAAAATACATGCCAATCAAAAAAAAAAAGAAAAAAAAAGAAAGAAAAATGCTTGAAATTATGTAAAATATTCAACAAAAAAAAATACTAATAAATGTACGCATTATTCGTCTATCCTTATAAAAAAGAATTTATTTATCATATACTGGACATTCATACAGATTGATAGATTTATCCTCTGATACAGATGCAATGATATTGTTTCTTTGCGGATTGTATTTCACAGCCCATACCTAAGAAACCAAATTATTTAAACATTTATCCCCTATTACTTATTAAATATTTTTAGTCATAATTTAATAAACAAAATTTATATGTTACGAATTTGTTTTAAATTTCAACATGTTTGGTCCATCCTGTGAACTTAGAAATGTCTTACCTGATCATTATGTTCGTTAAATGTATGTAAACATTGACGCTGCGCCATTTCCCAAACTTTAACTGTATGATCCGAACTGCTGGATGCAAACTTCTGTCCATTTGGAGCAAAAGCAACGCTGAGTACCCATGAGGCATGTCCTGACATAGTTCCTGCTAAATTAGCATCTTTCCTGTATGGAACGTTAATTTAATAAAGGAATACAAAAATTCATGGCTATCAATGATTGGTTAGACTAGTGGCAGAAAAGTTCGGATTCTAAATTACTTACACATCATACAATTTCATGTGCCCATCATCTGATGCGGTGAGAAGTAACTGAGAATCTGGAGAAAAGCACAAAGATCTGATGGGCATCGCGTGTCCTAAAACATATAATTATATAATATATGCTACAAATACAAATTACTAAAGAAAATTTTGACAGACACCTTCTAATGTACGTAACACTTTTCCATAGGTAACGTCAAAAATGTTGATAATTCCATCGATTGCACCACTGGCAATATATTTACCATCAGGACTCTAAACAAAAAATACAGTAATATAAGACAAACAGTAATCTTTCATTTTCTTGTTTACACTTCAAATTAATACACTTACAAAGGCAACGCTTAATGTAAATTTTCCACCTCTTGTATCTAAAGTTTGTTCTTGTTTGCCACTTTCTGTTCCATACAAATGTATTTTACCAGAATGGCTACCAGATACAATAAATTTGTCATCTGGGGAAAATACTACTGTCCAAATATCCACAGGACCTACTTCGATGCTTGATATTTTTTCTCCTGTTTCCAAATCCCATAATTTTAAGCTGGAGTCTAATGAACTCGATGCACATTCTACAAGTACATGAAATTTTTTTCACTAATATATATTTATTCATTAGATGGAAGTATAACGAAGTAAAAATTTTCAAATAGCTGCTTACTTGTACCATCTGAACTTACAGCAACAGACACCACACCAAGTGAATGACCGCTTAATTTATGTTTTAGCTGTAAAGTCTTATCTTTTTGTTCCCAAACCTTAACAGTATCATCGACTGAACCAGTAACTAAATATTCTAGGATCTCTTCTTCATTGGACTGTATAGAATCACTATAATATAACAAGAGAAATATAAATATTAGAGCACATTTGAAATATCACAGAAATGTAAAAGTTAATTACCGTGAGTCATCATTATCTGGTTGTGCTTCCTTCTTCTTTTTCAAACAACCCCATGCACAGGTCCAAATGCTGTCTTCATGAGCATTTTCTGTTTTATTAAGTAAGGAATACTGAAAAAATTTCGAACACGGCTTTGCAACTGTCACGCATCATGGACAAAATAACATGTATATATATGTTTGTAATGTTTCACAAATTTATGTTTCTCACCATTTGGAAAAATACGTATTAGCTATATAATAATATTATTATTAAAGACTGATGTATACTCGTAAAAGAAAAATACAAATTTGCTGAAAGTAATAGAATGCGGTAATATAGCTTTAAATTATGTATCCATATAATATTTTTATTTTATTTTATATTTTATAAACTTTAAACTTTTAAATGAACATATATACAACATGTTTTGGTTAGGTATCCACATAAACATCAGCCTGCTCTGCGCGTGCTCTGCGCGTGCTTAGTAGTATAATGTTGGTACACCTGATACCATTCGATTCGTGACAAATATGAAATACATAGAATTCGATATTTTATTTGTTAATTCCGCCATTGTGCTTTTAGCAAGCATAAGTGGTGTAGTGTTATTAATGCTTGCAAGTTAAAAGTGAATGAAACTCAAATATATGTAAAAAAGAAGGTGAGTAGAGATTGTCATTTATTAAAAGTAGTTAGTAGTTTATTATTGATACGTGAAATTAATAACCATTAAAGAATTCTTGTTATTATTAATAACTTTGTAACTATTGCTAATTGGCATCGCATTTACCCTTTCGAAAAGAGAGGGAGTTATAAATAAACATGATTTTGTTAGGTATGTTGTATTATTTTAATACAATTTTGTTTTCAGAGGTATTACAACAACAGCAGCCTGGATCAGAGACTAATCATAAGACGTAATATTCAATCATGCTGGTCGCCGGTCATCGTTCAACAGTTCCAGTCTGGTGAGTGATTATTATAAAATTGTTTACTTATAATGATTACATTAATAAGTCAACTGGTATAAGATTTTTCTTGTTACATAATTTCCTATTAAAAACCACGAATCTTTTGCTTTTAATTCGTTTGCCGATACCGGCTTTCGAATGCTTTAAACCAAAATGGCGGGCTTTGGTACTTTCTTATTACGTCATAAGGTTGAATGTTCGCATTATAGAATTTATTTTACAAACGTTTGTAAAATGTTCGTATACAACTTTTTTAGAATTATTGCTAGTTAAATAAGAATATAATTAATATAATCATAACAGGAATACGAAACGACTTCTAGCAAAATATAATTATCTCTGTTATTATTAACGTAAAATATAGAAACATGGACGACCAGTGATAAACTTTTTCTTACAAAACCTCATCCCCATTGGATAATTATCCTCGGTATCATTAAGGCCCCGTTATAGTAGTGCTAGAGTAAATTCGTTTCACATGGGACGAATTAAAATTGGTGGCAAGACCTCCCCGGATGTTTCTCCAGCTTCTCCTCTCTAACGTGAATTTAATATCCGTGAATATAATGCGGGCATTTGACCGAACGATGAAAGCAAGCGTACAGAAGAAGCAGCCTGTCTTGCTTCGTGGAACTGGATTCAATTCGTCTTCGAGTGTGTACGCGTGTATACAGAGCGTTAAAAAAGAAAAAACATAAAAACATTTAGAATTTTATTTTTGTTATGCGTCCTAGAATAATAGTGCTATTCTAGAGTATTCTTATCATCTTAGTAAGATTAAGGACATATATTTTTTTCTTATTTTGACACAAGGGATTTATATCTAAACTTCTGTCTAATCATTTTGAAACACTCTGTACGAAGGTTATTCAGCTAAACGCAAGGTCATGGGTACATGTCTTGGGTCAGTCGAGCGCGTAAAACAGCCAAACAAGAATCTTTGCGCAAAAAGAACAGCCTTAAAGACACACTACTATCCCACGTCCCTTTTGTGGGTCGGTGGAGGTGCGTTTATGAATACACATATCACTGGGATCATGGTGGTGTAAATTCTATTACGCGTGTTCTCATTTCCGACAGTTCCACCGTTGCTTTCCCGTTTTATTTTGCCTCTTCCTGTTGTGACGTCACTTTACTCATTAGAAGTAAAAATTTTAGTTGTTTATTTTACGAGGGAAATTTTAATTTTATAATTTCTTGTATAATTAAATATTTATAATTTCTATTTTCTATTTCATTGTTGTTCTGATTGCTTTATTTATGAACTCGCTTCGAATTCTTTATGTTTTATTGAACATCCGATTCTGATTATGCTCTTTTTCTTATTAGAGAGCTAGTTCTGCTTTTACTGTTCCACTTGGAAATTAATTTTCATTCTGGTTTCCTGATCCATGTTGCTCGTTCTGCAGAGAAAACCATTGTATATTCTATTTCCTGTACCATTTGGCATCCTGTTTCTTGATTCTTTATTTAAAAAACCAATTACAAGTTCAGTTCTTTAATTTGTATTAAATTTTAGTTTTCATTTGAAGCAATACCTGTAGAACTTTGTATCCGTGAAAGTTTGTATCCGTGAAATTTTATGAATCTTTTAATTTACTTCTGGTGTAATTAAAGATCTAATGGATTTTTGGTAATAAAATTTTAATTTAAATGGAACATTGATGCTGATGTTGATAGTTATCCTTGATCTATGAATCTAAGCCGTTGAATTTCGCAATTTCGTAAGTGTGGTCTAAGTGAAAGAGATTATAATTTTTTCATGGGGTACTATAAATTCCTATGATCAGGAGCGGATTAAGATTTTTTAGGCCCGGGGCTATCAGACCTTTGAGGACCCCCTTGGTCGATAAAGTTAGTTCAAAAATTGAAATATATTTTAAATAAAATTAAATAACATTTAATCGTAAAGAAAAAGGGCAATAGTACAAAAAATTTTCGTTCAATATTTTTTGACATAGTAAATAGAAGGCTTATAATGAAGACCCCCTGGAAAGGTGGATCCGGGGTTATTATACCTATGACACCCTTGGTTGAAAAATTTAGAAATATTGACAGTTCATTGGTGAGAGTTGAAATATATTTTAAATAAAATTAAATAATATTTAATCGTAAAGAAAAAGGGCTGCAATACAAAAAAATTTCATTCAATATTTTTTGACGCAGTAAATGGAAGGCCTATAACAGGGCCCCCTAGAAATGGGGCCCGAGGCTGTGGTCCTCTAAGACTTATGATATTTGCAATCTAAATAGCAATCTGAATGTGATTAAATATTTTAAATCAAATGCCTACGTGGAATATTTAACTAAATGTCTATTTGCTACAAAGTGATGTTGAAATATTATATGCACATTTTGTAAGATAGCAAAATTGTTGCCGGAATTTTTGTTCGTTGCCTCCAGCTGTATCTTAATAATGATACTGAAAATCGTGTACGTGTTCCTCGGTAACAAAATTAGAACGAGGAAGTATAGTTGTAGGCGTGATTGTCCTTCGTCTTATCGTACATTCATTTCGCGATTCCTCTGTTTGAATGAATAATTTAAATTAATGGTATTTTTTCTGACAAGAAAAATCGTCTAATTTCTTAATTTCCGGATATTTATTTATAATAGACTTTCGTTATATTGCCGCGAACGGATGGAGACGTAAAATGTTTTAAGTTTCAAAATTTTCAGTTGGAGGGGAAAAATAAAAGAAAATTGTAAAATTTGTGTGAAACATAAATCGCTCGCATGGCAATATAACGAGAGTCTATTGCATTTTGTAATTTGTAATTATTCTAATTTGTGGTATTGATATTAGTTTTCAGAAAATAACAATACTTTAATTTTGAAGTTGTGAAATGCAACAGTAACCATAAAAAGGGAATTTCCCACGATATATTTAAAAATTTCACAAAACTTGGAATCACATTCCTTGCGTGAAGTAGCATAACGAGGTTTGCAGAAAAAGTAAGCCTGAAAGCGAGGAAAAAAAAGTATAGCAGAAAGTAAGAGTGAACTTTCAGGTTTTAAATGAGAGCCTCATTTTTTAACATAATTTACTCTCATTTTGCTGTAATGTAAAACACGGTCGTTTTACAGGTAGATCTACTAAAAAAAATCTGGATACACTCCTATCCATTTATACATATTCATTCAGCAATTTGTTATATTGCTGTAGAAATAACATTTCAGATTTTCATTTTGCGGATATTTTTACTTTGATTTTCACCATTTTCGAAATAAAAATTTTTCGCAAAAAATTTGAAATATTGAAGCTTCAATGGGTACTAGGGTTGCCCTTTTTGGGGGTGGGGGAATGTATGTAGTATTTTCGTGAAATCTTGAAAAAAATATAGTATTTTCAGGTAAATTTAAGAAAATAAAAACTACAATTTTTATTCTTTTTTACGAACTAATTATAAGTCTCGGTATTCTGTGTTCATACTAATATAAATTAATAACCCATTTTTTATTAACTTAATTGTAGCTTTATTTCTTGCCTCTCGCTATTTAATATTCATAATTGAAAGCTGATTACATAATTGAAACTGTGATTAGGTTTAGTTAGGTTGATAATTAAATTTTTGTTTAATTAATTATGAATTTAAAATATAATATTTTGCATAGTTTTGTTTCAAAATTATATAGTGCAATTTAGCGAAATATAGTATAATGCTATAATATAGTGCAGGTTGCAACTTTAACTTAAATACTTCCGTAATTTTAATATTACCAAAAATAGGTATAATAATTAACGTAATTAAACCACGAAACATTCCACCAAAAGTTTTTCAATTTCATATTCCTTATTTTATTAATTAAAACAGATTGTTGATATAATTTCTTCAACCTCGTGATTACGTTTGTCCAGTTTATTAGGTTTGAACGCGGATAGATCAGTATTAACTTAATTACTAGGATGTAACGAGAAGTCACGCAACGTTTGTTTCGTGCAACTAAACTGCAACACAATCGTCGCAAATTGCATCGTAGCTTTTTTGTTTAGAAGGTTACGCCACACAGCTTTTAACCCTGCTACGAATGTTGTGATGACGAAACGAATGAAATATTTGAGAAGCCAACTAATTTCTAGCTGAACGAGGGAGAATCTTAAGTAAACATTTTGGATTTAACGTGTTACTGGTTGCTGGTGATCGTTGTCGGCTAGCATTTTTAAACTGGCCTGTACTATTCGTGGAAGCCGTTCCATTCATGGAGTGTAGATGTTTTTAGCAGACAGCGGTGCTCATTTTATCTACGCTTTCGTGTTTTTCATCACAAATTAAGGATTTTTTATTTTATGTTATTAGTATGCTTTACTGTAGGGGATACAAAATTGTTGACTACTTGTTATATATCTTAATAGTATTTGACGAGTAGAATTCAAAAATACTTAGCATATTTAGCATATTTTGAGGTTATTTTGACGCCATATTGACTTCTATGTGTAATTTGTCCAATGAGCGGAGTCGCTGCTTCTAAATAGATCACGTGGATCGCAGCCATTTTGGCGGGAAAATCAAATAGTATATTGTCTCTAGTTACATGTGTTTTACAAATGTTGATGGACGAGGTTGGTTAGGTTATATATTTTCTAAATAGAATATTTTCAACGTATTTCTAAGTATATGTTTTTTTCTTTGACTTAAGTAAGTTCGAGGATCAAGACACATGTAGATAAAGACATTTGACTTCATCCGCCAAAATGGCCATCGCCCACGTGATCAGTTTGCAGGCAGTGACTCCGCTGATTGGATGAATTGTGGGTATAAATCAATATGGCGTCAAAGTAACCTCTTAAAATATCCTAAAAACGCTCAACTTTACTTAGGAATATCTTTCGAATGCGTGCATCTCTGAGCTTAAAACTGGAATTTTTGGATTCTACTCGCCAAATACTATTAAACTGTCAAACTAAAAATGAACAATTTTGTGTCCCCCAAAGTAAAGTGCAACTTTTCCGATTATTACTAATATTCACTTTTAGTCGGTAGATGTTGAAGAATTAT